TCAGAGATGTGGTAAAAGGCTGTTTAATCCAAGGGCGTAGGGGTTTGTCATCATTAAGCTGGTCTTCAAAAACTCTAGCTAGAGCTACTGCTTCATGCCAATCACCAGGTCGTTGAGGTAAAACCAAACGACGAATGCGGGGTTTAAGTCCTGAAATAAACAGGCCACGTTTCATGGTGGCAGAGAGACCAGGGACCTTGCTGGCTGCAGCCTCAAATGCCGATTGATACTCAGCGACGGAACCTTGTTGCTGGAGTTTAGCAAGAGTGCCAATGGGCTCATCGAATTCAGAAGCCCAAATCGCCTGCGTAAGGTTGTGACAAACGCAGGCCAGGTGGGTAATAATCCTTCATCAGTAAGTCCCCTAAACCAACAAGCAGCAGGGTCATCTAGATGGAATGCTACAATTAATAAACGTTCGTCTTCACCAATTCTATAGTATTGGCAGTACTTATCCACAACAAACAACCAGGAAGTTGGATCACCAGAAGTAAAGCGTGGAAAAGTAAGTTTAAAAGGGCAAGCAGTACCCAGATCGGTAGTATAGGTGGTAGATTTGGAACCTGGACCAGATCCGAAAATACCTGAATGCGAAAACGCTCTGTGAGTTTGAGCATCAAGTAGTCGCTGCAATGTCTGCTGGATTTGTACATGGGATTCCTGCAGATGAGCATTAGACTCTTGGAGGCCTAGGTGTTGCTGTTCACGAACCAATTCTGCAGAGCGGAGCTGTTGTTCAAGTAGATCTAGACGCTGGTTTTGTTGCTCCAAAATATACAGTCGTTGGGTGAGATTTGTCATTCTTGTATTTTGTGCCATGAGTAGGGAGGATGAGTAAGCAACGAGAGCACCGAATTGTAACGCTCAGTTTCAGAATTCCCAGAATTTAGAGGGTTTAGGAAAAGGAGAAAGGAAAAGAGAGATATAAAAGAGAAAGTAGAAAGTAGAATCATTCAGAATTTTTGTAAAAAGCATTCACCAGTCTCATATGACAATATAATGCCCTATACCTAATGGGCTTTCCTATCCACACATCAGCCAATATGGCTATTAAACTATATGAATTAAAAGACACTTATTGGGGTCCCAGGGCCCAAGGCTATATCAGCTGGTCTCATAATCACCCAAGTAATGGGGCTTCTTGCGGGTTCGAGCAACTGGGCCCGGCTCATGAGGAGGGTCCGTTACAAACATCCCTTTGAAAAAATTTCATTTTGAAGATTTATGGATTACATCGAGCATAGTCAGTTATCACCTCAGAGGGCCATAATGACAGGTTGGTTTAGTCAGGTTGCTAGCTAATATGCTGCTCCAACCTTGCCCGAACCCAAATCCAACATCCTAGCCCTGGAAATGATCTAGCCAGTCTCGTTCATAATACCAAGAGAGTTTGGGCTACCCAACAAGCACTAAGCCTCCCCAATTCGTTTGAAAGACCGAATTAATGGTATGAAGGTTAATCAAGCCCTACTCATGATGGAACCTCTCTAGAATATTCCCTCATAGTAGAATGGGCCAGCTAATGCCGTTGATTTTTGCATCATAGGAAGATTTCGTCTCTCTACACATACTGTGTACCCCTACACGTTTTACACCCTCCTAAGGTATATTTCAGACCCTCGAATTTGTGGCTTCTGTTTTTTTTTTTTTTATTATTATTAGAGCTGTAATGCTAAGATACTCGATTGATCTCAAATTCGAAACACCACCACAATTTTGGAGTCAGGTTTTGACGGCAACGATAGGTCCATTATGGATTTTAGCTCCCCTTCCATGTTAATGGAGAGGCTACAAAAGAGATATGGAAAAAGAAGATGATTATAGGATAGTGGGAACTGGGAAAGTGGCCGAAATAAAATGTATTTATTTAAAAAAATACTGGAGCTACATTAATTCACAAGCAGCCCACCCAAATGGACAAAACTAAATAAATAAGACACGTATGGCTATGTTTTTTCAATCAATGCCTAATGCCTATAACTGCTGTTCAAAATTTCACATTTCTTATGTGCTATATTTAAATTGTACGCTTGCAAAAATCAACAATGTTACAATCAATCCAATTAATTGGCTATTTCAGGCACAACTGAGTACATATATATGTAACTTAAGATGTAATGAACAAGTTTACAAAAAAAAAAAAAAAGATGTAATGAACAAATTATCACTTTTAACATTCACAGAACTCGTCCCACAATCACTTCTGGCAACCGATCGATTGCCTAGTATTAGTGGATACATTTGGTCCATACTTCAGACTCTAGAGGTTCAACAGCTATAAGGATATATAAAATATTTGGGTTTATCATGTACAGCAACACGTCGCAATACTCTGGTCTTTTTTCCAACAATATTGAACTGTACTTCCTATAATTAGTATGCATCTTCTAGTTACTACATAAATTTTCACTTCCACAGGTCAATCTGGCTACTGGAGGTGGATGTTGAAGCATATTCCTGGGAAATTTGTGCACCTTTGGATCCGTTTGCCAGCACATCGATTTGTTCAGCAACATGTAGGACAGGTGCATTGGAAACACTTAGCCAACACTTATTAGTGTGGTTGTTATCTCTCTCTTGGAATAGGCAAAGGCACCACCCAATCTCTATTCTTCTCCTGAGTCTAGCAACCTCAATTGAAGGATATTGGGTATTCGAAGAAGTGTTCTTCTCTTATAAGACAACAAGATGGTGTAGATTTTCATCGGAGGATTTGTGTTCTTCAAGTCTGAAGAATTGATCAAGAACGCATCTGATCAGAAATAGTTATCCGAATAAAAGTATCAATTTTAAACCCTTAACATGTCTATTGCATGATTCATCAACATGAACAGGTAGCCTAAAGTCACGTGTGATACAACCAAAGTCTATATAATTTAGTTGAAATTAATTTAACAAAAGAAAATCAATCAATATATATATATATATATATATATATCGCTCTTTGACAGAGAATAAACTAAAAGATCAAGTCACTCTCAAGATATATAGTATAGTCTAATTTAATGTATAGAATGAAGTGGAACAACTGAACTTTTGAGAGAAGAACAAATTCTATTGCAAAAAAATTAAACTGGATTAAATTAAGAGTATAAGCAGCTGAAGTTTGGGAATTTTTTTTCTTTCGATAATATGAGTAACAGAGATTTAAGAAAAAAAGAATGTAAGTAAATTAGAAGTAATTAATAATTTAAGATTTTAAAAACCATAAATTATGTTTCGAACATCATTGAACTTGTGTTAAGAAGAAAAGGAATTCATCTGAACCATTCCTATAAATCGGAACCATTTCTATATGAGCTGGCTAACTATGTGATCTTTCTCTGCACAAATAAGTTTGAACTGTCTTGAATTGGAATAGCTTTAACCTATGGGTCTTCAATAGAACAAAGTGAGGGTGTACCACACTCCCACGCTCAAGTCAATTTTGGTTCATGCAAATTTTATTATGTAAAAGAAGATATGTACCTTTATCTAATATATTGGTATTTATAGCTGGGAGGTGACCAGCTTCGGAGATGACCTTTCTTTATGTAGCCATGTTGTGGAGGCAAGTCCCTTCAATTGGCTGTTGTGGATGGCTATGATAAGGTTGCTGCAGAAGTTGGCGGTGGTGAAGGTGTAGTTTGCTATGATGTAGCCATGATTACAGTAGCCTTTGTTGACTCAAAAACCTTGCTTAATGGTGAATGCCTTTAACATGAGCCTTTATAATATTCTGATTATAATATTCTAGATCAAGAATATAATACCAGATTATCTTATTGAGTGTGATACATTAATGCTAAAGTAATAATTATTTTATAGAAAACAAGAGGTTTGTTTTTTAAAATTGTATAGAAGAGGGAAATCATGAGAATATCATACCAAAAATTAATTTATATAGTTATATGAACTTTGCTTGAGTTGACGTGTGCAAGAAAATTTTGTGACTTATTAGACAATGGAAGCAATACTCGAAAATATTATGAAATAATATCTATTTCTACAAGTAACATGATAATATATAAGACTTAACTTGACAACGTTCGCTGAAGGACTTGAAAATAAGACTGCCCAAGAACTCATTTAAAACTTTACGATTTGCCACAACCACAAACACTATTTACCATTCTCCAACACAGTTATATCATAATTTCAAATTTTTCTGGAATGAATGCTGGATCTTCATAATGAATTTTGCTAAAAGCTATTGACAAACAGAAGGCCTCTTCAATCAAGAGTTTCTGTATATTTATCTTCATTTTGTTGTTTTTGTGCAAAGAGGGTGAAATAAAATATGTGTCTGTATCAGTATTTGTTGGCATTCCTTAAGACAGCAAAAATATGTGTCTCCGGAGCAGTTTCTATTTCTTTTCCGCTATTCCATGCTCTTGCCTACCCCAACTGATTTGGGTTAAACATGATGTTGATGTGTTCCGATGCTCTTCTCATATTGGTGTGTTCGAATCAGTATATTGTACATTTTGCTAAATCTTTCTTTTTATTCAGCTGAATGGAGATTTTATTAAGTATTTAACTTGAGAGTACAAACATTTTAAAAAATGATGATTTTACACAAATTCATTAACTAGTCTTGTATATTTGGCTGTTTGAAAAGTTTTTCAATTGATGGTTTACACAAATATATTTAACACCCACGTAATTTATTTTTGTTAGTATTGTATTCTTCCTTTCCATAGTTCTCTAGTATTCCTTTACATTTTGTGAGCGATAATCTTTCATTGTTTAGTTGGCCGACATTTTTTTTTTATCTAGAAAGACATTTTGCTTTTCTATTTCCTTCCACTTCTTTCATGTTCATGACAGAATTTGTAAGGAAGATTTCAAAATCTTTTGGTGATCTAGTTTAAATTTTTCTTATGCATAGATGGAATGAACACAGAAATGAAAATGTTACAATTTTGCCACTTATTACGTGTTGTAGCAAGCAGTACAATTTTCTGACCATTACACTAGTTCTTTGGTAGTGCAAGTTGCTGCTTGCTTACGTTGTTGTTTTATACAAATTTGACGGAGATAGGGCTCCTTACAGTGTGTTTAGCAGAGACCCACTTTAGGAACCCTTGAGCATATTCCCCTCTCTTATTACCCACTCCCATACGGCTGAATGTCACTGAATATGTCTTTTCCTGGTTTGCTCTTGAAAAATGAAGCTTATTAGGCCGGACCTTCACATCAACCCCTTCTGGTGCCGTAACTATGACAACATAAGATGAATAGATATCACCAACATTTGTCACAGTCCTTGTGAATGTCTGTGAGGAACCAAGCACAACAGAAAATGAGGGGTAGTTGAGCTCTCCTTCGGGAATGATTGAAGTTTGAGAGCACTTAATTGCTCTACGTGCAAAGATACCCACTTCCCTATCACTGTAGCCTAAACCGCACAAATAAGGTATATAATCATCAGGTTGGATATCATATACTAATCCAGGATCATTTGCTCTTGATGGATTCACGTGGCCGGAACCTGTGGCAAAGATATCTGCAGGCTGAAGTGTTTCATCAACAATGGGTTTGTGTTCTAAATTTAGTATCTCTGCAGAAGTCATCATGGCAGATTTTATGGCAGCTGGTGACCAGTGAGGATGAGAGCTTTTGAGCAAAGCAGCAATGCCACTAAGATGTGGGCATGACATTGATGTGCCAGACACTATGTTGAAATTGAGTTTTGAATTGGTGTTGTTATTCTGGGAGAATGGCCAGGCAGCTAGGATGCTCTGGCCTGGTCCTATGATATCTGGTTTCAAAATACCAGGACTTGGCAGGTTGGGACCTCTTGAAGAGAAGTATGTAACTGCAGGAGCTAGGGAGTTTCCGATTATAGTTCCCTTAAATAAAATGGTTGCTTTAGGTTTTGTAGTGGAACTTATATAGGCCTTAATCTTTACTCCAGCAGCATGGCTCACATGCGTTGCAGGCAGAACATGTACATCAGCTCCCAGACTGAAGCCACTGATTTCATCATTCATGAGAATCATGGCTGCACCACCTGCTCTTTTTACTTCTGCTCCTTTTTCAATTCTTCCTCTACCCCCTCCTTTCTCACACAAAACAACCTTGCCTCTGAAATCATTGCCATTCAAGGATCCGTTAGCACAAAAAGCAGATTCTTTTTTGCCATTCTTTCCAGCATACACTAAGGGTAGCAATCTCGGAGAAAAATTGGAAGGCTGGAAAGCAGATTCACCATCAAACTCTTGCCCATTTCCAAGCTTTGCTGTTGCAACAAAGCTTCTGTCAATAGTGCTTGCTCCCACTGTGAGGATCCATGGGGCTCCGTTAACTACGGTGCCACTGGAAGGGCCATAGTTTCCTGCTGCACAACTCACGAATATTCCCTTCTGAATTGCTGCAAATGCACCTATTGCAATGCTATCACTGAAAGATGAAGGTGGCTCTCTTGAACCAAGGGATATTGATATTACATCCACGCCATCTTCGACGGCTGCATCTAACCCAGCTAGTATATCGCTCTCGGCGCAGTCATCTTCATAGCATACTCTGTAAATTGCCAGGTGAGCATGAGGGGCCATCCCTGCTGCTGTGCCTTTGGCATTTCCTAGTACTTGTGCATGCTTCACAAAAGCACCCGCTGCTGTGCTTGCTGTGTGAGTCCCGTGTCCATCCTCATCAATTGGTGTCTCTTCTTTCCCTTCTTTCATTGCCATAGCTGCGATGTTGAAAGACCTTGCTCCAATTAGTTTGTTGTTACATGCTGTCCCATTAAGTTCGCATCTCCCTTTCCATTTGGGTGGTGGTGGTGGTATTCCTGCGTCACTGAATGAAGGATGATTAGGCGTGATTCCAGAATCCACTATCCCAATAATAACTCCCTTTCCAAAATTTGATTCCTTCCATAGTCCCATTTTTTGCTGCAACCCCAAAAATTTTGGGGTATGTGTGGTTTGACGATGTAGTATCATTTCGGGATGAGCTGAAATAAAGCCATCCTTCTTTTCCACAGCTCTCAGTTCCTCTTGAGTGAGTCTTGCAGCAAAACCACTCAGCACGTTCCGGTATGAATAAATCATTCGTGGCTGTTCGTTGGAGCTCATAATAGTAGGTGGCATGAATGAATGGTACCAGCTCTCCAAATCTTCTGATTGAGTAAATATCTTAGACTCTGGCCTTTCCACATGGATAATGTATGTTTTTGAACTGCTTGTCTCGGTACTCTCAGTGGTAAGGGGCAGTTCACTTCCTTGTGCAAAATGAATAAGGAAGCTCAATGCGAAAGTGAGAGCAATGAAAAAGAAAGAGTCCATGTTCGGCAGAAACTTTACTTTCTGCTTGATGGAAGAATGGAAAACAAAGGTTCTTTATTTAGTTTGGTGTGCTTTGAACATAAGCTCAATATCATACACATATATATAAGGAACAAAGCCGGCATTTGCATATGGATGATGTTGGGTAAGGATCATATTTCGCATTCAGATGATTCATTGCCATATTTCGCATTTAGATGATTCATTGCCAACTCATTATCGACTCATGGCTAACTCATTGTTGACTCTTTTTTGACTGATTGCTGACTCATCTCTTACCCATTGCTAATGACTCTTTGTATTTTCCTTTTCTTAGTAGTCTGAGCTTGAGTCAATGAATAGCTGTTGTTATATGAAATTTTTTAAAGAGTTTGCTTTTTCTAAGTCAATGTAGATAACTTATCTACATTAAGCCCAAATCGACGTTGTTTTGAGGAGGAAATCAAGGTATTTTTGTAATTATAATATATTTCAGGGTTATCATAGTCTTTTTCATTATAGTTTTTAATTTTTTAACCCAAAACGACGTCGTTTTGGGAGCGAATGTAGATAACTTGTCTACATTCACTTTAGAAACATTAAAGCCTTTTTTAAAACTTATTTTTTATTTCCTTATAAACAGAGTGATTTGTAATAAACGCCTCTGAATATAATACAGATGTTAGAGTCTCTTTATTTTTGTCCGTTAGAAAATTTAATGGTCTTTTAAGTTTGATGTAACGGCCATGGGTGACTACACTAAAGTTGTTTGATGAGTCTTAACAGTATCATGGGTCAGTTTTGGTAAGATAATGAGTCATTAAGTTAGTGTTTATTTAGGTGTAATATGTCTCTTAATTGTTATGTTTTTCAATGGATCAGTTTTGGTAGGATAATGAGTCATTAAGTTAATGTTTATATGGGTGTAATGTGTCTCTTAATTGTTATGTTTTTCAGTTTTAGTTTCTGGATTATATTAAGTTTGGATCAGTTTATGAAATATGAATTCCCTCTTCAAATATTGTGAGTTATATTTCTGCATCTTTTTTTTAACAGACAAGCTACACATAACTTATATTGGGTGAGATATTCATTTTTTGTTCTTCATTTTTCTAATTTCTTATATATTAGTTCCTATTTTAAAAAATTTAAAAATTTCAAAAATTATAATTTTAAATCAAATATAGTAAAATACAAAAAATAAATTGAGCGGGGAGTGATCACCAGTGTAAAGAGGCACGGATAATGAGCGACTCCTGACAGACTTCCAGCGGTGGTTATATGAATGAATCGAATCGACATCCGAAAGAGAGAGATTCCAAAGACTGTGCATGTATGAGACTGCATAGTTTGGGATAGCTCATAAGAATTAATTAGTACTACCTATACTAATAAGATGCATCTACTTTTCGATAGCGTGGAAGAACTCCATAGTGAACTTGGAGCAATTATGGGATGGAAGTTTTACCGTGAAGTGTGCGAATGAGAAAAAACACATTGAAAAGTCTCGAGTGTCAGTTTGTGGGGATAGTCATTGATTCTTAAAGCGGCCGGGCATTACATGCAGTGTTATGAAACTCGGTTGGGTCGATCCGGAACTCGAAGAACTGATCATCGAATCGGTTTGAGTCAAGCATCGGATCAGCCATGCACCGGACCCGGTCAAAATCTGGCCAAAATCGGTGACCCTCGAGTCCTGCATTATAATTAAAAAAAAAAATCCAAAAACCAAAAATCAAAATTATTTCATCTTGTAAAAAAAAAAATTAGAACTCTTTTTAAAAAAAATTGTAATTTTATTTGCTAGGTGTATACTCTTCTACAACGACTTCAAATTTCACTTCCAATACTAAAGTAATTTGCAAAACAATAAATTAAGAGAATGTGACATATGATATTTCAATGGAGATGGATTTGAAAAATATGAATTCACAATATTTGACCTTTTGAATGTCATTGAGAGGTATATTTATAGGGATTCAGAGTTGCAATTTAAATTGACATATTAATAACTTACATTTTCATTTACTTGTACTTTATGAACTTATAAAAGTGTGATTCGGTAATTTTTAAACTTATTTAGTGAACTTTATTTAAATTATTTTAAATATAAAAAATTAATTAAATTTATATGTATATATTTATATATATTCACGTCAACCGATCACATTTGATAGAGGCCTATAAAAACTAAATACAAAAGTTTCTGGTCTACCTTATTCATCAGTCCACATTAATAAGGGCTTCTTTTTTGAGTTGTTCGGTCCAACGTTGGACCTTCCCATAGGACCATTGCATTCGCTCAGGGAAAATTTAGGATTTGGACACCTAAAACAGTACAGGCTTATAGGTCACCTTCAGGGAAAATCCAGGGTGTCGATCGGCAGGTCACCTTCGGCTTTGATAAATTAGACCTGATATATTTTTTAATTAAATTTCAGCCACTTCGAATTGGCTCGTCCTGACTCGATGCAGAGGACGATCTAGATACATAAGAAGGGGAGCAAATGTCCCTCCTTAAAATATGATGTAAAAATATAAAAATATCCTTATTTTAAAATTTAAGTTTTTTCAATTTAATTTCGGGGTAGAATATTATAACAATCAATTAGGATTACTACCAATATTACTATCAATCAATTTTACTGTTAGATCAATTATATTGATTCAACAGTTATATTTATTTTCATCTTTGTATGGTTATGATTCTCCATATTTAATACTTTATATTTATTTTTATTTTTGTATGGTTATGATTTCTCATATTTAATATTTTTATATTAAATATGGGGATCATAACCATATAAAGATAAAAATAAATATAACCGTTGGATCAACATAATCGATGTAACATTGAAATTGATTACTAGTAACCTAGTTGGGTTGTTACGATATCCTACCCCTTTAATTTCCCTCCTTCTATTTTATTTTACCGTGAGTTTTTTTTTTTCCTCCACTTTCATTATCCAAACCTAACATCATATAGCTCTATTCCAGACCCATCATTTGCATCTACATACTGATTCAACTCCTCTCAAACCTCAATCTCCGTTATTGGAAGTTGGAACATTTGCTTCTTCCTCCATCATCGGTCTAGATGAGTCGCAATCCGTCTAGATCTAGATTTAAACCAGACCCAGTCAGCCGGCAGCTGCTCGCAAGTCGCATTTCAGACTAGACCTAGATCTATATATACTTGAACTTATTGAGTGTCCACCCTTTATTAATTTTCTGGATCCGCCACTGACTCGATGTTATATGACATTCTAATTATTTTATATTTTTGTTTTAAAAAGTATAGAATAATCATAAAATTTATTGAATTAAATTAATATTTTATGCATAACATTATATTTTTTTTATACTAATATAATTTTGTATACTATTTATGATCCTTCTCCTCTCCATCCCCCTCCTTCTTTTCCCCATCTTTTCTTTTATCTTATTTTCCTTCTCTCATTTTTTTTTAATCTTTGTATATTTATCATTGAGTTCATCTACCACCGATCTAATTAACTTGGATTAAGAGTATTGTTAATGTTGATGTTGTATAATTTGTAAGTTTTTTATTTTATCTATAAAATTTCGCGGACTTGCATTTTTCCCAAATCTTGGATTGGCGGGTTCAAACCTAGACAACCTGAAAAAAAAAAAAAAAAAGGTTCGATTGAACTCGACCCAACTTGGTTAAGAGCAGCCTAATTAGTAAGGGTATGATAGGAGTTCAATTTTCAAGGAAAATATTTTCTTTCTCATTCTTAAAACTTTTTATATACTATATAACAGAATAGATTAGCTTATTTTGGAGTCAACTAGTAACATCCCTAGCCAACAAAGGTGGGTACAGTTGGCTAAGAGTATAGTCCATACTCCACAAGGATATGAGGAACAGTGATCAATGTGCCACGTTTTTGGCATTAATATACTAAACTGCCACGCGAACAGTAAAATTTATCAGACTGCCACGTGTTGAAGTTTGCTACAACTGGTGACGAACTTGGTAGCATTGATTTCGTTACACATGGCACACTTTTGTAGGAAAAGCTGACCGCCACGTGTCCAAGTTCGCTACGACTGGTAGTGAACTTGGTAGCAAATGATTTTGTGACACGTGACACATTTACGCAGAAAAAATTGACTGGACGAAGTTCGCTACCAGGGGTAGCGAACTTGGGGCGCTACATGGCACAATCTCGTTGCCCGATCAGAATTAATGTACCAATCACAATGAAAAATAGAAAACGAAGGAAAATGGCTACTTAATTAATGTACCAATCACAATTAATGTATCAATCACAATTTGTGTAACAATGAGATTAACTTTTGATTGTACCAATCACAATTAATGTACCAATCACTTCGGAGGGCCATAACTTTTGATTCAGATATCCAAATCAAATATTTTTTATTTTATTTCACATAATTTTTTGAGATCTACTCAATGACACCTCATTTGACATATTTTATTTCTCACAAACATAGTTCAAATTTGTAACAATGGTATCACAAACAACTAATGTACCAATCATCAATAACAATTAATGTACCAATCAAAATTAATTGTGATTAGTACATTAATTGTGATCAAAATTAATTGTGATTGATATATTAATTATAATTGGTGATTGGTACATTAATTGTGATTAGTACATTAATTAAATAGTCATTTTCCTTCGTTTTCTTTTTTTGATTGTGATTGGTACATTAATTCTGATTGGGCAATGAAATTGTGCCACGTAGCGCACCAAGTTCCCTACCCTTGGTAGCGAACTTTGTCCAGTCAACTTTTTCTGCAAAAATATGCCACATGTCACGAAATCATTGGCTACCAAGTTCACTACCAATCATAGCAAACTTGGACTTGTGGTGGTCAGCTTTTCCTGTGAAAGTGTGCTATGTGTCAAGAAATCGTTGGCTACCAAGTTTGCTATCAGTCGTAGCGGACTTCAACGTGTGGCAATCTAGTAAATTTTACTGGTCGCATGGCAGTTTGGTATATTAATGCAAAAAATATGGCACAT